GATATGTGGAAGAAATAATTGGTGCTAGTAGATTTATTCTATGTAAAATATTGACTTTTATTTGATTTGATATCTCATTGGTTTTGAAACCTTGATATCACTTGACACTTGCTCATGACAGATGACTCTTGGTGTCTCAAGTTCTTTATTAAGTTTATTTTTAAAGTTATGCTAATAAATGTAGGGCATTAGCTCACAAATTTGCATTATTGATTACATAGAGTGAATATCCTTATGGTACTTGAATTATATTCAATGGATTTATTTTTTCTTGAGGGTAAAATGTTCCTGGGTCAGAAGTTGTCTCAGTCAGTGGCATACCTGCTTTGAAATTATGAACATCTGAGTTTATTTCTAGAATACACAGGTAAATATCCAGGAATAGTATTCTGGGCATGCAATCCCAATGCATGATTGACAGTGGCAGATCTCTGAATTTTCCTGTCTAGCCAAACTAGATCATTTGGTGAATTTTAGTGAAAGTAACTGCTTAAGCGACCCAACATAATAGATATTTGTGTCAAAATTGCATTTTTAATATAATAGCAAAGTTGTACATATGAGTTTCAAGAAGATAAAACTGCATGTACATGATTCTTATCAGATCAAGCTATCCAAATTCTCAGGATGGCTGTTACAGGAACTGATGAAGTGTTAATCCTATTTTAGGGGTCTTAGGCATTTGTTGAACTGCTCAAGAAGGAAGAATTTATTTTCTTCCCTAATGTTTGATCTATGAAAAATACTCAGTGTCCAGGGGAGTTCCACATATCCATGAAGTCACAGGCAGCCCTAAATGAACTCAGTTTCTACTAAATATTAGGGAGCCTGGGCTCCATAACCCTATATATTGGCTGGTTATTGTTTTCAGAAATGATATCTCTGCTACAATGGAGAATTTCTTCATGATGAGAGAAGCCTACATTTATCTCAGTGTATGAGGACAAATTTGCATGAATTGCTAAGTTGCAATAATAAATTATAGATATCAATTCTCCTCCCTTCCTATAACATAATCACCACTGTGAGATGAACTAGATTTCCAATAGCAAGCATTGTTTCCCTAATGTTGAGCAGGTCATAAGCACAAATAGCCAGGCATTGGATATAACCCAGATACATGTGCTACTATTACACACTTAAGGTTATTGTGCCATGCTGTTCTTTGATGTGGTTCATAGCCATTATAGCTATTTAGGACTTTAGATTGTTTTCCTCCTTTAGAAGCTTGTACAATCATAATGGATGCATCTACAAACACTTCCATACCTAGTGCTCATGGAACATTGCAGTGAAGTGGGCAGAAAAGTTGTGAGGAGTCAGATGATCAAAGAGTATGCTTTGATATCTTATGTCCCATTAATATCAGAAGCTCCACCTATAAACTCTCCACAATATGACTATATGAAAATGAGATCAATAAGGATGACAGCAATTAATGTGTTAAACAGTCCAACAAAATTCCACGAGGTCTCAATTTTACACAAACAATTATAGGCCACCGAGAAAAGCTGGAAATGAAAGATGTGGCTTTCCCAGGGAGAAGCACACCAATTATTTGTCTTCTACCAAAAGTCAGGTTTGAAAACATACATGCAGGTAGCATTAGACTTACTGATCCGTTTATATTTAATAATATATATGTGGAGCCGGGCGGTGGTGGCGCAAGCCTTTAATCCCAGCACCAGGGAAGCAGAGGCAGGCGGATCTCTGTGAGTTCGAGGCCAGCCTGGACTACAATAGCTAGTTCCAGGACAGGAACCAAAAAGCTATGGAGAAACCCTGTCTAGAAAAATCAAACAAACAAAAAAATATATGTGTATAATATATATGCATGCAAAAACAATTAGTGAAAAAGAGATTATGAATTCGAAAAAAAGCATGAATTGGTGTATGGGAGGGTTTGAAGACAGGAAAGATTATATGTTGTAATTAAATTATCACAAAAATAAAAATAAGAAAGCAGAACACACACTTGCATACACAAATGCACACAGACACACACAAATGCAAGTACTCACAGATACACACACAAACACATACACACAAAATAGAGAGAGTTCTTCAAATTATGACACAATAGTAATGTTAGAGGTAGGGGAAGATTTTAGATCATGTTATGGGTGGTGGGCTTTAGAAACACAAAATATTAATATAATTATATTGAATAGGCATACTTATGGAAAGAAGGCAACAGAGAAAACAATTTGTCCTCTGTATGTTTCCTGTATGTACACTTGTGCTCCTCACATCATAACTGCATGTGCACATGTACACACACACACAAACACACATACACACATACACATGCATACACATACACACATGCACAAAGATATTTTGAAAGTTTCACTTTTCATGATACATCTGAATTTTTTTTTATGGTACATTGCTTGACCAGGGATAGGATTCGCCATTTCTTTCATTAATCTAATCATCGTTTTGCACGTCACTCTAATAGTTCCAATTCCATGTGATGGCTCATGTACATTCTTAGAAGTTATGAAAATCGACATAGGCAGATGGCAAATATCAGCAGAAAGCTGCACTTAGCTTCCCAGAGTCGCATTCAGAAGGTCTCATACAGAAATGCAGGCTTTCTTATAGGAAGCCAGGGTATATTGTCAAGGAGCCAGGCATACTCATGCCCAGGCACCACTGATTGTTTCCCTCTGTTATCAATTGCACACACATTTCATGCTAAATTACATTTTTCTGTCTTTCTAGTTTCAGTTTCCCTGTTTCTGTGGTAACATACAGGGAGGGGGAGAGAGACATGCAATAGCAGCTCAGATGAAATCTCCATAGTTACAGCAGGCCCTTGATTTCCATTGGTAGCTTTGAGATCTGTCTTGTGATTGGCCCAAATCCATTCTCTAGATGATATCACACACTTAGCCAATCCGAGGCAAGTGGAGATAATATCAGTCCCTTCACAAAGGGGTTTTTTCAGTCAGGCTCCTGGCTGGAGTCCAGCTCACAGCTGGATCCTGGTTCTAGCCAGGACCTGACTATAACATACTGGTCAGTGAAGGAGCATTACTCCTGAAACCTGCCAGGAGACAGAGCCAATTGACATCCAGCATAGGCAGGTACTTTCTAAGATTTCCCACATGCTGCCTGAGTCACCTGCTCCTTTTTCCTGTGTAGGAAATGTGTTTCTATTTCCTAAGCTGCTGTGTCCCCTGTAAAGTACATCATTTTAATTCAGCTTTGGATTTTGGCTTTATCTGCAATGCATGAGATTAATCTCAGCCATCAGTAGCTAACCAAGACAGGAGGCCTGCTGCTTCATACATTGCCTTCATGGACCTACTTTGTGAATAATTTTCTTTAAGTGCATCTTATAATCTCTTATATGGCAACCTGAAACTCTGAGAGCTCATAGTTGAAACATTTGCTGATGCTATTTTCATTTGCATGTTGTCTTTTTATTGAAGATAGATTTTGTTCCCTACAATATAGAATGACTATGGTTTGCTGACCTCCAACTCCTTTATGATATTTCCCACATTCTCACCTGCCCAAATCTACACTCTATCTTTCTCTCAATGAATGTACGCATGCGTGTAATAATGATAGTAGTGATAATAGTAAAATATCAATAATAATAATAAGTAAAACCATCAGAATATGACAAAGAAAAAAAAGAAGAAAAAATTGCCAAATAGCACAAGAAACACATAGATGCAAAGACACATATGTTCAAGCAAACATAAATGCAATAAAATCCCAGAATCGTAAATTATTACATATAGGCAAAGGACATATAAGGATAAAAGAATTGCTGCCAAGAATGATGAGACAAAGAATCTCCAAAAATGTCATTTAGTGTTTTGTATGTGTGCCACGTACTGTTGTGCTTTGAATCCTCTCTTAAGGGTAGTTTGTATGTGCTGTGATACTCCTTTGGAAGAAACCGATTTTTCATTTGCTTTCATTTTTTTTTAAATTTTTTATTGAGAAAAGGAAAAAAAAAAGTTTCCGCCTCCTTCCAGCCTCCCATTTCCCCCCCTCCTCCCACCCTTCTTCCCCTTCCCCTCACTCCTCCCCCCCTCCCTCTCCAGTCCAAAGAGCAGTCAGGGTTCCCTGCCCTGTGGAAAGTCCAAGGTCCTCCCCTCTCCTTCCATGTCTAGGAAGGTGAACATCCAAACTGGCTAGGCTCCCACCAAGCCGGAACATGAAGTAGGATCAAAACCCCTTGCCATTGTCCTTGGCTTCTCATCAGTCCTCATTGTTCGCCATGATCAGAGAGTCCGGTTTTATCCCATGCTTTTTCAGTCACAGTCCAGCTGGCCTTGGTGAGCTCCCAATATATCAGCCCCACTGTCTCAGTGGGTGGGTGCACCCCTCGTGGTCCTGACATCCTTGCTCGTGTTCTCCCTCCTTCTGCTCCTCATTGGGACCTTGGGAGCTCTGTCCAGTGCTCCAGTGTGGGTCTCTTTCTCTATCTCCATCCATCACCAGATGAAGGTTCTATGGTGATATGAAAGATATTCGTCAGTATTGCTATGGGATAGGGTCATATCAGGTTCCCTATCCTCAGCTGCCCAAGGAACTAACTGGGGACATCACCTTGGGCTCCTGGGAGCCACTCTAGGTTAAAGTCTCTTGCCAACCCTAATAGTTATCCTCCTGGCTATGGGAAGTAGACAAAATTGCCGGGGAAAATCTTGGGATCTTGGGGATGGGGTGGGATGGGAGTAAGGGGAGATGGGGAGAGAAAAATGAGAAGGGGAGGATGGGGGGAACCTGGGGAAACAGGATGATTGGAATAAAGGAAGGTTGGATAGGGGAGCAGGGAAGCACAAATCTTGCTTTCAATTTTTAAGTGTACCTTTATTCCGGATTGGGGATGGGGTCTTGTGATAATCTTCTTTTGCCCAGTACTGAATGACCATCTGGGAGCAGAGAATATAACTGTAACATCCCCTTTGTTTCCATTCAGCTTCCATCAAGAACTGCATGTAGTCTATGTTCTAATCTAATTCTCTTTTTAGGTACATATTGTTTCTACTGTGTGGAAAATACATTTGTTTACCCTTCCCTGTCTGCACACACCAGTATTTGAGATCAAGCAAGGTAAGGAGCATGCCCATATTCCAATGGGAAGAACATTTCTATAAAGTATATAGTGAAGGATACTTACACTCTTCTTTTATAAGAAAGTTAAGCTATACTCAAATGGATGCAGACATATAGTATGTTTGTAAAAATTCACTATATATTCACATTATTCTTATAATTATTACTGTAATCTGGAAATGTTAATATTTCTTTCATTGGAGTTAATTAAATTATTTTAAGATTAATTTTCAATTACATATACACTCAGATCAATATTTTGCCTCAGGACAATATTGCAACAGACCCATCAGGGGGATCATAGTTTAGAAGTACAATCAATCAAAAATTGATATGTTGCCTTTTATGATTTTGTAATTTTTATTTAATTTATTCCTTGTAATGTTCATATATTTACCCAATAGTGCACTCACTCAACATGAACTCTATTCCAATTTCCCATCCTTGACACATGATTTAAAAGAGCTCAGAGAGATAAACTGGGGTTCAATCTGAAGATCTGAAAAGCAAAACAGTCAGTCACTGGCTCTTACATAGACTCAGTCCAAAATGGTGATCCTGCCTCAATGAATCTCTGAATGAGACTGTGTCTGAGAACTGTCTCTTCCCATTTTATAATCCTCTCTGCTGCTGGGATTAAAGGAGTGCACCACTGGGACTAAAGGCATGCACTTCCCAGTTTCTATGGCAATTAGTGTGTTTACTAGGATTAAAAGTGTGTGTAACCACTTCATGGTTTGTAAGGCTGACCCATGGAGCTGTTTTACTCTCTGATCGTCAAGTAACATTTATTAATAAAAATACATTTTAAATCCCACTATAATACTCCTTCCATAATAATTTATTTACTTATCATTCAGATCCAATTATTTTAATTATTGATTCCCATATGAATGCCTTAGGTATGAACCATATAGTATGAAATTGCCCATCACAATTTATCTTTTCTCAATTTGAGATACAAACATGTTACTTTTTTTTATTTTATTGAGAATAAGAAAAAAAGTTTCCGCCTCTTCCCAGCCTCCCATTTCCCTCCCCCCCCCCCACTCTTCTCCCCCTCCTCCCTCTCTTCTCCCCCTCCCCCCACTCCTCTCCCCCTCCCTCTCCTATCCAAAGAGCAGTCATGGTTCCCTGTCCTGTGGAAAGTCCAAGGTCCTCCCCCCTCCCTCCATGTCTAGGAAGGTGAACATCCAAACTGGCTAGGCTCCCACCAAGCCAGAACATGAAGTAGGATCAAAACCCCTTGCCATTGACCTTGGCTTCTCATCAGTCCTCATCCTGAGCGAGGTAACCCAGACCCAAAAAGATGAACATGGGATGTATTCACTCATAATTGGTTTCTAGCCATAAATAAAGGTCACGGAGTGTATATCTGGTGAACCTAAAGAAGCTAAAGAAGAAGGTGAACCCAAGAAAAAACATAGTTATCCTCTTGGCTAAGAACCTTCATCTGGTGATGGATGGAGATAGAGACAGAGACCCACACTGGAGCACTGGACTGAGCTCCCAAGGTCCCAATGAGAAGCAGATGGAGGGAGAACACGAGCAAGGATGTCAGGACCATGGGGGGTGCACCCACCCACTGAGACAGTGGGGCTGATCTATTGGGAGCTCACCAAAGCCAGCTGGACTATGACTGGAACAGCATGGGATAAAACCGGACTCTCTGATCATGGCGAACAAACATGTTACTTTTAAGCCATAGTGTTTCCTTTCTTGTAATTCTCAAGATCATGTATTAATATCATAATTGCATTATAGATATTCTAACTTTTAATGTCCCAGAATGTAAACATTGAAACACTTAGAATTTCAGTCTCTTTATTATATCCAATTTTTTTATAACCCAAAAGTTTTTTTAAAATCAAATGTCTTGGAACTCTTGGCTCCTATAAAATAACAAATAACTTAACAATTTATTACTAAAAGAGGGAAGAAACAGGACATAGTTACAATCAAAGAAATCTAAACACAAACTCCAACTGTGAAAACATCTGAGGATTCATGTATATGCTCAGTTTCTGGAAATATGCCCTAAAATTTTAGGTTTTCTTCATGGGTTTCAATAATAATAATAATAATAATAATAATAATAATAAATAATTTGGATGATACTGATATGGTGTCCCTATTGATCACACTGAGTATAAGATATTCTATTTCAGTCATGAAATCTTCAATGTATGATTTTGAAAGATCCTTAGCATCCCAGGATTTGCTTACTATGTATAATATTTTACCAAAATCTTTACATAAATGCTATTATTGATAGTTGCTTTAAATTTGTGGTGATAACATACTTACATCATTTCTCCTTTCCATTTCCTCATTTCACACACTCTCAACACTTCCCCGTGTTTACTTTCAAATCTACAGTCAAATGCATCCTCCTAGGATTTAAAATGTCAGAGAAAACTCCTTGTTCCTTTTACTCTACAAGCATTCTGAGACTTCTTTTATAAAATTCTCTTATCCTTTATTGGAGAAGTGTTTTATAAATTTATCCAAATGAACAAAGCTCCACAATTCTGCATATGGATAGAATGTGATCTTCTGCAATGACCTTTCACTGTTTCAAAGAGAATTTTCCTTCATGAGGGTCAAATCCATATTCATCTATAGGTATAATAAAAATTCTTAGATGGTTACTAAAGAGTATAATGCTTCAGTAAAACTGTAAAGATTATTAGTTTCTCCCTAGGAATATTAACTACATTAGTGCTTGGTAGTCAGCTACATTTCTAGTAGCAGGATGCATTTTTTTTAAAGTTGAGCAGGTCTAGCATCCAATCAGAGAGCTGTTGGTTAATATCAAGGTATAAGTGCCACTATTGCATCCTTAGGTTTATTGTATCATTCTGGTGGTTGCTGTAATTTGCAGGTTTCAGAGCTGTAAAAGACTGTTGAAAGCTTGCTTGGCATAGGCTGTTATCAGAAAGCTGGGTAAGAAGTATTCAGGTCAGTTCCAGATTGGGAACCACTAGGCCATGTATCTGAAGTGTATGTTGTCTTCAGTAATAAGAGCTATGTTTCTACTTCTATGGAGAGAGTTACAACAATCAATAGAAATAGACTTTTTGTTTGAGAATCATTTGGACAGACATAAATGGCAATTTAAAACAAGACTTATAAGATGTGCAATTGGCGTTTTGTTTGGTCAAGGAAGCTAAGATGTTAAAAGTTTATTTAAGATATATATATATATATATATATATATATTTCATGGATTTACGTTTTATAGTTCTTAAGTATATAGTTGATAATATGATACCTGATGACTATTCAGACATCCTAATCATTCTTTTTCCCTCCTCCCTCTTTTGTATTTGATGTGAAAACATAGTTTAGAGGATGAATGGTACCTGAGAATCAGTTCAAGGAGTCCTTCTCTAGTTTAAATAGACATGCAGATTATGTGCTCCCCACACTAAAAATAATATACTTATACTGCCAAAAAAAAGAAAGGGTATTTAAGGATTGAGGCATTAGGAATGTTGAGAATTACTTCAAGAGTCTGATACCAGACAATTTAATTTAGACATATTTAAGTACAGTTCAATTTTAGAAAAAAAAATCTGATAACAATCATCTGTATGTGCTATAACACTTAAGTTATGTTTACCTTGGAAACTCTTCTGCAAAGTACATGTGAAGTGTGTGTGTGTGTGTGTGTGTGTGTGTCTGTGTGTGTGTGTGTAACTCCAGGGCCTATCATCTGGTGTGATCTCAGTTGTAACAGATAGCATTAGAGGTCACCAGGCTATAAAGTACATGGGACATCTTCTCCAAGGATGGATTCTATTGACTGAGAAACAAAATTAAGTTCTGGGGAAGAAGAGTCTGGGATAAATACAGTAATTTGAGGGAATTAAGGTATACCCTGGCTATACATATAGAACAAAAAACAAATTACCAGGCTATTAACACAGTCAACTCCAGGCCTTCAGGTTGGAAAGCAGACACACACATATACCATTGCTATGAGGCTCAACCTCCGGAAGGGCAGGACTAGAAGGGAACCCACAGATTTGGTGTACTAGGACATTTTTATTGGTGGGGTAAGAGAAAAGTCACACACACTCAATGTTTTCCTTCATATCATTCTTTTATTCTTCTTCGGTATTCTTCTTACTTTATTTTTCCTCTATAGCTTATATATTCCAACACAATCTTTCAGAAATGTGCTTCTTCTTTTCAAGTGGATGATTATAATGAACTTAGGTAAAGAACATTTTCCTTACAAGATTAAAGTGAAATCGTCCAAATACATTCACGTAAGTAACTTGCTATAGATTAAGAGTCTGAGCAAGCAGTGTATCTTTCTCAGACAGTTCTTATGTTGGCAGGCGGCATATTGTAGTTACAAAGAAAGAGTCAATCACTTTATTAATATTTTGAAATGTATCATAAAATGTGTTCTATTGACTGGGAAACAAAATTAAGATAAAGTTCTAGGGAGGAAGAGTCAGGGATATAGTATAAGGGATCTCAAAAAAATCACACACCTAAGCTTGTATACATGAAAAAAAAATCAGTCAGCTTTACTCTAAATCTTTAGGGTGCATACTCACACATCAACAGATTTTTTATCAGGAAACTGAAGGATGCAATGGGTACACGGTGTTAATCATCATTTTTGATCACCAAGTATTAATAGCAAGGAAAGTACATCAGTTAATAATAATTGGACTGCTTTGCTTTTGATCCCAAACCTAATAAATCTACCCCTCAGCTGTGTGTTCTTGTTAACTTTAAGGATTTTTCATCTCAAAACTCTTTTTTTTAAAATATTTTATTTATTCATTATGTATACAATATTCTGTCTGTGTGTATGCCTGCAGGCCAGAAGAGGGCACCAGACCTCATTACAAATGGTATCAAGACATATTAATCTCACCTGACACATTTCTCTTCAATTGAAAAGTTATGCCTGTATGTTGAACACTCCTGGTTTCCACAGTGCCTGTCTGTAAATCAAAAGATCTCAATCCCTCTATATCTCTCCAGTTTTAAGTTTTGTAAGAAATAGTAATGATTCTAATATAGGTTATGGCTGATTGAGTATATGGGTATTCTAGTTAATATAACAATGTATAAGTGGATTATAAGACTAGCTAATGGAGGACCAAGCAAAAATTATGCCATCATAACCATGATAGCCATTCAAAGATAACAAGGAATTTTATCTATACCTTTATGCAAACAATTAATTTTATTATTAGTAGTATGAGAAAAATCTGACTCATCAAAAAACACACATATCAAGAAATTATTTGCAACCAAGATTATTCTTGAGCAAAAATTAATCTGCAATGCCTCTGCTTCATAAAGTTGTGATTCTCAATTCACCCTCTCTTGATTATTTTCTGCTCGTATTTTTTTTTTTTTTTTTTTGCTATAAGTTGGTAGTTTTACTAATCATACAGGCCATGCTTTGAGACCTCTCTTTATATTCCAGTAATCATTTCAGGGATATGGAATAAAAAAAAAGTCATCATGGCTTCAAAATTATAGGATTCAGTATATGCAAAGTATCATCATGATTTTGTGAAAAGCTCTCTTAATTCTATTGATTACTTCTAAATAATTAGCAAAATGGGTGTAATATAGCCAACCTCACATGTATCATGAATAATACAAACCCAGAGACAGATATAGGGGTTTAAATTGAATATCAGAGAAGAAGAGTAGTAAGCCAAAGAGAGAACATTTACTTCTGCCAATGCTCAGAATAAAGGGACGATCCTCAAATTTAGAGACAGTAACTCTCTAAAGTGTGGTGTCTGAAGTTTGTTAGAAACTCAGTGAAGTCTAGATTATAATCCCTTCAGTCAGATACATCAGAGTGGAAGGCATCTGGGACCTTGTTAATTTTCTAGAAAGACATAGATATAACCATCTGGCGTTAAAAGGCATTTTCTGTAGAAGAGTTAGCTACTCCTGTCCATGCTACCATACCCAATAATGATATATGGAAGACAAAATTGGGCTAATAGACTGAATGCTATGTTAGACACTGTTTATATTTGACTTTAGTATATTCTTAGATTTGAATTCCCGAAACTACCTGACGCTTATTCAGAGAAGATAACACTAGGTGTTCCAAGTGTTTTACCGAAGTTATCTTTGATATTCTATCATTAAATTGACTGTGGTGGCTCAGGAATTTACATCATTATTCTGTCCACACTTTGCATAATATTTTCCTTTTTCTATGTATGTAGCATAATGATAGATGTTAAGTGTTTTGCATATTTACACACTCTTTTAGTAGATTTGTGCGTGGACACAAAGAACAAACCATAGAAAATTCATTAAGAATTGGTGTAAAGGACAGGAGTTTCTGTATAGTTCTTTATTATTTTATTGCTGCCCAAGGCACAAGTGATATCCATGAAGGTGATTGGGAAAGGTTCTAATAGTTTTCACCTGTACATGTTAAAAAAAAAACTGCAAAGGTTAAAATGAGATGCTTCTTGAAGCCTTAATGTTTCTTACCTGGAATCCTAGTTGTAGCAGTGGTTACTGTAACAGTAGTTATCAGACACAGAGTCTCTAGAGCCTTACAACACAATAAAGGCTTTTGAACAGGTGTTGGAAGTGTTTCATCCGTAAATGGTAAGATCCTGTTGATGAAGCTTATTGCTTTGACTGCAGGACTTG